ATATACAAATGTCTTTCCTTGAAATGTTCTTCCGAAAATGGTAAATGCTAAAACTGATTACACTGCTATTGAAAGTGGATGAGCAAGTTGATCTGCTGCGATGTCAAAACATATTCTATTTTTATTTTTAATCTAAAATATTAGAAAGAATTTTGCTTTCCTATACTTTGCTGTGTTTAGTAAGTATACACTGACGTATGATTTTTGCTTTACTCTAACAGTAGAACCCTCAGTTAGCCAGGCAGCCATCATCTGTCACATAAAAGGTGTCCTGGGGAGGAATGGGAGAGCCTCCTCGGTGGAAGAGGCTGATGGTGGCTCTGGCCCTCATTCAGCCACTTTCCTTATTTTGGTATTTACTTCATTTATCTGTTCCGAGCTAAACAGATTTATAGAGAATTAACTCTCACAAAACAGGAACATGATTAAAAAGATTTCTGCAAAGAATTGGACTGGAATTCTTATTAAAATTGTAAGCACAAGAAAAGAAAAAAAGAGGGCCGGGCGCGGTGGCTCAAACCTGTAATCCCAGAACTTTGAGAGGCTGAGGCGGGTGGATCACGAGGTCAAAAGATCGAGACCATCCTGGTCAACATGGTGAAACCCCGTCTCTACTAAAAAAAAAATACAAAAATTAGCTGGGCATGGTGGCGCGTGCCTGTAATCCCAGCTACTCAGGAGGCTGACGCAGGGGAATTGCCTGAACCCAGGAGGCGGGGGTTGCGGTGAGCCGAGATCGCGCCATTGCACTCCAGCCTGGGTAACAAGAGCGAAACTCCATCTCAAAAAAAAAAAAAAGAAAAAAAAGAAAGGGACAGAGCCAACATTTCTCATACTTCTGGTCAAGCTCCTCATCACATTCATTGTGGTGTAAGAATAATGGTGATCTAATAAGATCTGACAAGGTCAGCCAAAATGATACATAGAAGAATTTAGTCCTCCACACAGGAGGGCTGTAAGCAATAAAAATTTCCATCCACTATAACTTATAATTAACTTTGACTTGTGTGTTTACATGCCTTGAGATTGGCCAATGATTGACTGAAACTACCACAATTAAAGACAGTTAAATCGTTTTTTAATTTAAAAATTTCTATTTTGTGAATACTATAGAATGTATTTTATATATTACATGTATAATTATATACTATTATAATCATATGTTAATATTAACATATCATCTTTTATGTCCAAAAAATTTTAATGACACATTAAAAAAACTTTAAAGACCACTGGATTAAAAGATGGCATTTGGGGCCCAGCATGGTGGCTCACATCTGTAATCTCAGCACTTTGGGAGGCTGAGCTGAGGGGATCGCTTGAACCCAGGAGATGAAGACCAGCCATGGGCAACATGGCAAAACCCTGTCTCTACAAAAAGTACAAAAATTAGACATGTGTGTCACACCCATAGTCCCAGCTGCTCAAGAAACTGAGGTGGGAAGATCACTGCAAGGTCAAGATGCTGCAGTGAGCCATGATTGTGCCACTGCACTCCAGCCTGGGAGACAGACTAAGACCTTGTTTCAAAAAATAAAAATAAAAGATTACATTAAGGAGAAATTTGATCTCATTGTCTTTATTATCAAGTGATTGAAGGCTAGAATCATTATTTTATAATCTTGTAGATAGGGTAACGATTGTACTTGCCAGTGGACGGGCTATTCATAACTAGATATATCTAGAGCACCAAACTTTTACAATTATTAGAAATTTGAGAAGCAGTACCCAGTAATGACTTAGAGTCAGACTGCATGGCTGAATCTCTGCTTCAGTCACTGCTCACTACAACCTGAGGCAAGCTAGTTGACCTACTATGCCTGTTTCCTCTCTGTAAAAGGAGAATAATATCAGTACTTTCCATATAGGACTATATTCAGAATTAAATGAGCTAATACATTTAAGAATTTAGGCCAGTGCAGCTGGTCGGGGTGACTGATACCTGTAAACCCAGCACTCTGGGAGGCCGAGGCAGGCAGATCACGAGGTCAGGAGATCGAGGCCAGCGTGGTGAAACCCTGTCTCTACTAAAAAAAAAAAAAAAATAGCTGGATGTGGTGGCACACGCCTGTAATCCCAGCTACTTGGGAGGCTGAAGCAAGAGAATTGCTTGAACCCAGGAGGTGGAGATTGCAGTGAGCCAAGATCACTCCACTGCACTCCAGCCTGGTGATAGAACGAGACTCCATCTAAAAAAGAAAAGAACAGAATTTTGGCCAGTGCCTGGCATTTAAGAAGCGCTCAATGAATGTTAACTAATATTAATTCGGCTTTGGTTAAATTTGAAAAAACAAACACAAAAACACAAGTAAGTTTGTTAACTACTGCCCCTTGCTGGCCAACTTGGGTCAGTACACTGCCGTCTCTGGGAAGGTAAACAAATGCTTGGAGTTCAGAAAGATTTTCAGCGTTGAGGGTAATATTATTGCTAAACTCATGAATATTTTTGCAAAACAGTCTTGAGAAAAATCAATTGTCATGAAATTAAGTAGTGAGAAGTATAGGAAGATAAATTAAATATCTGTAACAATAATTAAATAATAAGCACGTTTTCGATTATTAAGGGCACTAGAAAAGCAAGACATTTTAAATTGCAGTGCTCTGAAATAGGACCCTTGAGAATTTATGGTGCAATAGAACATGATTTTCCAAGAAAAGCAACTTGCTCCCTGCAATGACCAAATGCGTATTTCAAGTTCTGCCTAGGTGTTTGAGGGGTGGGAGGAGGTATTGCGTTCCTATTTGCAGGTTATATAATAATAATGCTATTGCTTATTGAGTGCTCACTACATGGCAAGTGCTTTCCATATATCACCTTTTTCCTTGTTCTTTTTTTAATATGAAAATATTTAAACATATATAGATTGAAAAATATAATGAATATCCATGTACATCACTCTTTAACAGTTAACACTTTCTGTATTTTTATTGTTCTGAGTTATCTTAAAATATAAATATCAAATATTTCAACCCCATATGTCAGTATGTATGTCTAAAAATAGAGACATTTTTCTATGGAAGCACGATACCATTATCACACCTAATAACAATTGCTTAATATCATCTAATAGCCCAGTGAAAACTCAAATGTCTTCAGTTGTCCCCAAAATATCTTTTATATATGATTTGTTAAACCAGAGTCAACAGAATACAAGCAATGCATTTGCTTATGCTTTTTAAATTTCTCTTAATCTAGAACAGCCATCCCTCAGTCCTGCCTTTTTTTTTTTTTTTTTTTTAATGACACTGACTTATTGAACAGACTGGGCCATGTGTTCAGTAGGGTGTTCTACCATTTATTCTGTTTTTTTTTTTTCTGATTGTTTCCTCCTGGTGTCATTTTATTCTTCTATCTTTGCAGTTCCTGAGACAGAAAGATAGATTTAAGGGCTTGATAATGTTGAGGTTAAAATTTTTTGGAAACAATACTTCATAGATGATGCTGGAGATTCATACTGCATCAGATTAGAAGACAATGTCAGGTTGAGCCACTGTTACGGTGATAAGATTGATCTGCGTTAAGACAGGAGGGACAAGATTTTCCTGTGTTGCAGTAATCCCCAGGGAATAATTTGACTAATTTGTCATCAGGTGAATATCCTGTTCCCTATCACCTTTTCATCAAATGATATCATTGATGATCCTGACATGAATCAATTATGAAATTCTATTATTCACTTAGGATTATTTCGTTGGCATACTTTTGTAAAGAGAACTGTTTCCTCATCAACTAGCGCTATTTGGTTACCCTGAAATACAGCTGCTACTAGAAAGGCGGAATACCTGTTTTCTTAAATGATCAATTTGCAGAGTTGGTATAATAGTCACCACCAGTAGTGTGGCAAATGAAGCTATTGTTTTTTTAATTTGGATTATTCTTCGGGGAAAATGGCTTTTTTATGTTTAAAGTTTTCAATCATTTTGCAGTTTGCAATCATTGTTATTTTTCGTTCTCAAATTGTTCTAATTTTGGCCAGTGGGAGACTTCAAGCTGGTTCCCATGTCCTTTTAGAAGGACTCGTTCGTCGTGAGAGGCGTCCTGACTTTCTGACACAAGATGATCCAAGTTGTCCTCACTCACTCTCAGTTCCTGACCTGGCATCAGTCATTTCTCAAAGGAGTGCTTGGTACCTTTTAGTGGGGGGTGGTAATAATAATAAGGCATATAATAATTAAATAATAAAATAAAATAAAATAAAAATAAAAAAATAAAATAATAAAAATATAATAATATAATAATTTTTAAAATCTCTTAATAAGAGATCAATAGCTGGGTTCCAAGGATAGACAATGCTCCTACGCCATTCATATTCATATATTCATTAAAATGAACAATATAGGTTTTAAAAAGTACACTCAGGATGTGTGCGTGGGGGGGCAAACACAATATAGGATTTTCTACCGTGACCCTAACTTATATTATGATCCCAATTTTAAAAAAGAGGAAATGGAGACCACAGGTGACCAAGGTTACTCGTCTAGTAAACGGCAGCGTCGGGAAGTAACCGAAGGCATGTTACTTCCATTAGGGAAGGGAGTCCTAGGCATTCAGAGGGGCCGCTCCAGGGGCGACGGGTCCCTAGAAAGGGGTCAGGTTGATGACCAGGGCCGGAGGGTACGGGAACCAGCGGAAAGGGTGAACGGACCATCCTGCCCGACTCCTCTAGGCCAGGAAGGCAGGACAGGGAGAGCTGCTAGGTGAGGTAGCCGTTGATGGAGTGGTCAGGGCTGCAGTTTCGCCTCAGCTCTGACCAGAGCTCCCTAAGGCGCAGAAAGTACTAAGGAACCACACGTGCGCATCCCAGAGCGCAGAAACCACTCGCCCTCCGCGACCTTCAGCAGGTGGCGGTCGGATCCAACCCTCCTCTGAGCAGTGCCTGCCCACCCCCCAATCAGAGGTAGCCTTGAGCAAGGTGGGGCGGGACATCAGTGGATCGTGTCCAATGAGGGGCCAGGGCCAGGCCCCTTCGGGATTGAGTATTTCTGAGTCTCTGCCGAAGGCAGAGAGAAGGCCGTGGGAATGGCCAATCAAAGGGGGCGACTCAGGTCTGTGGGGGCCGGCTACCAATCAGAAGAGCGCTCGCTCCCGACTCGTTCGGCCCACGCTTCCCGCCAGTCCCCTAACCCGTTGGCTGCTACTCGGCTGTCACTGTGCCGGGGTCTTAGGCCGCAGTGCTGCGCTCTCTGGCCGCTCCTTACAGCTCTGCTCCAGGCTTCCGTGCAGGCGTGTAGCGGGACATGGCGAACTCGGGCTGCAAGGACGTCCCGGGTGAGGAGAGTTTTCTATACTTCGCCTATGGCAGCAACCTGCTGGCGGAGAGGATCCACCTCCGAAACCCCTCGGCGGCGTTCTTCTGTGTGGCCCGCCTGCAGGTGAGTGCCCCCGCCCGCGCTACCCACGCCGGGGCTGGGATGTCCAGAAGGCGCTTCCTCGGAGGCACACGTGGCCGATCGGGCCAGGAATGCAGTTCTTCCTGATGAGGGTACCAGGACGCGGCTTCCGCCTCCTGGGCAGGTCCACTTCCTCTGCTGCGCCCACTGCCCAGCGGCGCTGCCCCGGCCACGGTGCGGTGCCCTCTCGGGCTGCCCGGAGCTTTCCCCCGCCTGGCCTTTGCACCAGCTGCTTGTTCTGCACCGATTTGGCCTCTCGTCCATTTAAGAGATTGCATTCAGTTGGTACTTCTAAGAAGCCTTCTCTGACTTGAGTCAGGGAATTAGTTCCTTTCTGTTCTGTACATACCTTTGTCACGGACTTCTCACCTGGCATTGTGAAAATCCGTTTACCTGCCTTTAAGCTCCTCATCTGAGAGGCCCTGAAAGCTGGAACCGTGCCTTACTCCTAATAATGCTGTGCTCAGTTAGGTCAACGGGCTGGATGAACTATAGCCAGTCTTGGTAAATCATTGCTCTTCAGTCCAGTCCATTCATTCATTTAGCACATATTCTTCCGGCACTCAACGATAGGTATACAAACATGATTGAGTCAAGTTCCTATTTTGAGGACCTCTCAGTCTGCAGGAGAGAGGTGCAATAGGGTATGTACAAAACCTTTTGACAGTGTCGAACGACACAAACATGATCTTTGCTAACCTCGTCAGAGTTCTTAGTTGCAAGCAGCAGAAACTGGCTGATTTAAGCAAAAAAACCAAAAAAAAAAAAAAAAAAAAAAAAAAGAGAATGTGTTGAAAGGCTATTGGAGAGCTCACAGAATGACCAGGAAGGCAGGAGTACAAAGCTGACAAAATGCACAGGCATAAAGGGATGTGCAGCAACTGTAATACAGTGGGCATCACACAACAGAACCAGCCCACGGAGCCTCTGCTGAGCCACTGCTGAACTTGATAAACATGGATGCTGTATTGTCCACTGCCACCACCACCTGGCCTGGACACTGCCTGCCTCTGTACATCCCTGCAGTTCCTGAAACCCAGATGTGTCAGCCACCCTGGAGTCCCTGCTGTCTTGGGCACTAGCTTCTAATTGAGAGCCCCAGAATATCCTGATCGGCTAAGTTTTGGCCACATACCCATGCCATGACTTTAAGCAAAACTGAGAGAACCAACTTCTAGCCTTTGAAGCCTCAAAAATAGGAGTCAAGCTCTGGTACTCCCTATTCCCAAACTCATCAAGTGGGGATTTCCCAACTGTAGGAAAGGAGTCCAAATGCTTATGGAAAGGGCAGGGGAAGAGATATCCAACAAGGGATTATTCAGTCACAGGTATATGGCCCATCTTAAAAAGGAGGGATGCAAGGAGCAATGGGGTGTATAACCAGAGAACCTGACCTACCCAGGATGCTCAGGAAAGCTTTCCCTGAAAATGCGACTTTTAAGCTGAGACCTGAGTGACTGCAGAGGTGGGGAGCAAACAAAACAGGGAACAGCATCTTCTGCAAAGGACCTGAAGAAAGAGGAAGCTGGATCTTTCGGTCAGTGGCTGGAGTTTAATAAGGGGAATGTGGCATGAAGACTGGAGAAATGGGGAAGGGCCACATCTTCCAGGACCACAGAAGCCAGATAAGACACACTGCAGAACTAAAGCACATGAAAGCTCAGATTTCTATCTTTGAAAGCTCATTCTGTTCACATGGAAAATAGATTTGAAGGAGGGAAGAGTGGATGTGGAGAGTTCAGGAAGTTTTTGCAGCAATTTATGCTGAAGATCTTGAACTAGGGTGGTGGCAGGAGAGCTGTTTCAGAGATAACATTGTTAAAGCGTAGTGATTGAGTGTGAAGAGACTAGCAAAGATGACTCAGGTTTTTGGCACCAGGTAGATGCAGGTGATGTTTGCAGAGAGAAGGGGAAAATCCAGTTTGAGAGGAGAAAATTCTAAGTTCAGTTTGAACATTCTGAATTTGAAATGCTTGCTTAACAGTCAAGTGAACAGAATAATATTAGCAAACATTTATTAAGTACTTACTGTGTGCTAGGCCCTATTCTAAGCACTTCTGAAGCCCAGAAGAGAGATCTAGTCTGGGTTTAAGGATGATCAGAATATTTGAAGTCATTGGAGGGGATGAGAATGTCCTAGGCAAATTGCTGAATGAATAGAGAAAATGGCCTAGACCATGGGTGTCCAACCTTTTGGCTTCCCTGGGCCACATTGGAAGAATTGTCTTGGGCCACACATAAAGTACACTAAAACTAACGATAGCTGATGAGCTTTAAAAAAAAAAAAAAAAAAGAAAGAAAGAAAGAAAAGAAAAAAGACCCGTACATAAATTTTCGTGATCTCTGCCACCACAGGTAAGCACAAAAGTTCCTGCATTCAAAGGGTTGGACACTCATGCCCTAGACTCAGCCTTGAGCAACTCCAACATTTAAAAATCAGGTAGTGGAGGAGGAGTTGGCAAAGGAGGTTGAGATCAAGGAACAGCCTGAAAATCAGGAAAAAGGCAGATCAGGAGAAGGTGGTCACCTATGTTCCACTGAGAAGAGGAACAAGACAAGGAATGAAAATTGTTTATTGGATTTAGCAGTACACAACCAGTTAGTGTGAACTGCAACTCCTATCAGATTTCCTGATGTCCTGCCAGGGACACGTGGTCCTAGAAGAATATCTCTTATACTAAATAAAGGGTATTGGTTGCTCTAACCAACTCTATTCCTGAGATGTCTGACAAGTTTTTTGAGAAAATGTAAGTGACAGGGACAAAATATAGACCTAAAAAGGATCCTAGAATTATCATTTAGTCCAGCCTTTTAAATTTGTCTATAAGGAAACTAAACTCTGGAAAGAAGGAAAGAAATCTTTCTAGACCAAATAAGCCACATAAGGATTCTGTTGCTTATTTGTTGCTGTTTGTTTTTTAAGTTTGTTTTTTCATGTAAGGATTTTTAATCTTCCTCAGGGCTCTATTCCCTGATTGCCCACCTCTGTGAGGAAAGAAGTTACACTAGAAACCTAGTTTCATTACCTATTAGTTCTTTTTTTTTTCTTTCTTTTTTTTTTTTTTTTTTGAGACGGAGTTTCGCTCTTGTTACCCAGGCTGGAGTGCAATGGCGCGATCTCGGCTCACCGCAACCTCCGCCTCCTGGGTTCGAGCAATTCTCCTGCCTCAGCCTCCTGAGTAGCTGGGATTACAGGCACGCGCCACCACGCCCAGCTAGTTTTTTGTATTTTAAGTAGAGACGGGGTTTCACCATGTTGACCAGGATGGTCTCCATCTCTCGACCTCGTGATCCACCCGCCTCAGCCTCCCAAAGTGCTGGGATTACAGGCTTGAGCCACCGCGCCCGGCCACCTATTAGTTCTAAAACCTTAGGCAGGTTGCTTAATTTCCTAACCCACAGTGTTTATTGCTGTAAAATACATATCAGAAAGTTGCTAGCAAGATAAAAGAGAATGGTCCATATCATGCTAGTAGCACTGTGTACAAAATGATTCCAACCCCCTCAGCCTCCCAAAGTGCTGGGATTACAGACCTAAGCCACCACGCCTGGCCCCCAAAACACACTCTTTTATCCATGCCTTTGGGCATGCCCATCCCCTGCTGAAATGTCCTTCCCATTTGCAGTTAGTGTTAGCTGCTTTTATGATTATTGTAGATAAATTAGTTGCTTTCTGTTCTGTACATACAGATTATTGTAGATAAATTCATAAGTACACAAATCATTCATCCTCAAATGCAAGGTCCCTCAGGGCAAATATGGTAATATATCCTGGTAGGATACTCTACAGACATAAAAGAAAATAGAATATTCTTATAACCCACATGTAGCCATCCCCTAGCTTGTCTCTAAGTAAAAATTTATGTGTATGTGAGAAGACTGGGAAGTAATTTGCAAAAATGAAAAGAGTTGTGTTAAGGCATTGGGGTTATGGGATTTTTTTTTCCTTAAACTTTTTGTTAAGATGTCTATACATATTCAGTATATATTTCATTTTTAATTAAAAAATATATATATATATATAAGCTCCTTGAGATCTGGGTCCTTGTCTGTTTAACTTTATATTTTCCGCAGCTTCTTATGCATAGAAGGAACTCAGTTTATTGAATGTTTTAATTGCGTGGAGTTCAAGGTAAATCCTTTTTATTTTGAGGAGGGAAATTTGGGTTCAAGTGGATATTGATCATATCACTTTGATTTCCTTTGTAGGATTTTAAGCTTGACTTTGGCAATTCCCAAGGCAAAACAAGTCAAACTTGGCATGGAGGTATAGCCACCATTTTTCAAAGTCCTGGCGATGAAGTGTGGGGAGTAGTATGGAAAATGAACAAAAGCAATTTAAATTCTCTGGATGAGTAGGTGGCTTCTAATTATAAGTTAAACAATAACTACGTCAGAAAGCAGATTATATGTGAGGATGTATATCTGTGTGTTAGTTTTTTAAAACCACATACTACAGATACAGTCTTTATACTTTTAGAGTCAACATAAAAGGCATGATAATGTGAGTTTGCTAAAAAGTCTAGAAGGGCAACACTTTCTGATAAAGATTTGGGGCAATGTTTGTAATCTCTTATGTAAAAGATGGAAGCCCTTATTTTTCATTCTATTGTCTTTTATAATTTTTCTTTGTAGTTTCATAATGTGAAAAGACATGAAGATTTTTGTAATTGTTCTTTTTTTTTATTTGGAAAGTACTTGAATTTAGTTTTTAAAGAACAATTATTTAAGATGGCAGGTGAATCAGTAAATAATACTTTGTAAAAGCATTTAACAACATATCAGAAATGCTTTGATTTTTTTATAACTAGAGCTTTCAGCGTTGTGTAGCATTTCATACAAAGAAAGTTACAAAAAAAGAGTAAGCCTTGAGAAGAGAGGATTATTTGACATGCTCGATACCTAACCTCACTTGTGAAGGAGAATGAGCCATCCTCTCTACCCTTTTTCTTGCTGTCAGAACACCATCTATTTTTATAGCCCAAAGAACAATGTTTCAGGAGTATGGGAAAAAACTACATTGAAGTCTCTTTTAAGACAAGATAAATATGGAGAGTTCTGTTATGAGTATAACAAGTAATAATATGTCTCAGGCCTTCTAACTGAAATGCTAAGCTAAGCTTACTTTTTTTTTTTTTTTTTTTGAGACGGAGTCTTGCTGTTTCCCAGCCTGGATCGCCACAGTGCGATCTCGGTTTACCGCAACCTCCGCCTTCTGGGTTCAAGTAATTCTCCAGCCTCAGCCTCCCGAGTAGCTGGGACTACAGGTGCTCACCATAACGCCTGGCTAATTTTTGTATTTTAGTGGAGATGGGGTTTCACCATGTTGGCCAGGCTGGTATTGAACTCCTGACCTCAAATGATCCACTCACCTTGGCCTCCGAAAATGTTCGGATTACAGGTGTGAGCCACTGCACCCAGCTTAAATGCTAAGCTTACTTTTGATGTGGTAAATTTATATGTTCTCTATCCCAAATATATAGGGAGCAAATATGTTCATATGCAGTTAAATGTTTAATCCCATACTCCTTCTTGACTACTATAAAAAGACTTTACCCAGTGAGCTAAGTTGGCTAGGTCAAATATGGTTAAAATTTGGCTCTTCTGGTTTCAGGCAAGAAGGGGTTAAAAGTGGAACATATGTTGTAATAGAAGTTAAAGTTTCAACTCAAGAAGGAAGAGAAATAACCTGTCGAAGTTATCTGATGACAAATTACGAAAGTGCTCCCCCCTCCCCACAGTATAAAAAGGTAAGCTATTTGCAGACTGGTGGTTATTACGTTTTAAATGTCACTGAGAGAAACTAAAGAATCTATATATATTCTTTATTTGCTTTTTCTTCCTTGAGATGGAGTTTTTTGTTTTTTCTTCCTTGAGATGGAGTTTCGCTCTTGTTGCCCAGGCTGGAGTGCAATGCTGTGGTCTCAGCTCACTGCAACCTTTAGCTCCCAGGTTCGAGCAATTCTCCTGCCTCAACCTCCCCAGTAGCTGGGATTACAGGCATATGCCACCATGCCTGGCTAATTTTGTATTTTAGTAGAGACAGGGTTTCTGCATGTTGGTCAGGCTGGTCTTGAACTTCCAATCCCAGGCGATCCAGAATATATTGTTTTTAAAAGGCTTTGGGCCTGCTGTGGTGGTTCACCCCTGTAATTCCACCACTTTGGGAGGCTGGGGTGGGCAAATCACCTGAGATCAGGAATTTGAGACCAGCCTGGCCAACATGGTGAAACCTCATCTCTACTAAAAATACAAAATTAGCAGGGCACAGTGGCAGGTGCCTGTAATCCCAGCTACTCAGGAGACTGAAGCATGAGAATTGCTTGAACCCAGGAGGCAGAGGTTGCAGTGAGCTATCAGGCCACTGTACTCCAACCTGGCTGATAGTGAGACACTGTCTCAAAAAAATTTAAAAAGAAATAAAAGGCTCTGTATGTTTTAAATTCCACATAAGCATTTATTTTAATAAAAATGTTTTTAAATATAAAAATAATATTTACCTAATGTACCGATTCAAAAATATTGTTATGTGTAATGGTAGAATTATGTTTTTAAAACTATTTTTAAAAAAAGTTTAGAAATGTACATGAGTCAGAATTCTAGACGTGTGTTTTCTTCCTTTCTCTTTCTCTCTTTCACTTGGCAATACATTTTTGTTTCATTTTTTATGATGTAGACATGTATTTTTTTAAAGTAGAAAAGAATATGTATGAGTGTATTTTAATAATTTAGTCTCTCTATATAGATATATATGCTTTTGTAATGTTATTCCCCCCACAAAGCAGTATTTTATGAATACCGAGTCATTATTATAGGGGAAAAAACATACTTTCTACTGCTGAAATGTTTTTCATCATTTTAGGTGAAAATGATGAAAACACAGCAGGATTTCATTACTGCTGAAATGTTCTCCATCATCTCCATAGATGGAGAAAGAAAAGTCACACTGCTTTTCAGAATCAGGGAAATCACCCTTGCAAGCACAAGACTAGAATGTGAGATAGACACCCCAACATTCTTGTTCAGAACCCAAGCTTAGCTGTCTGTTGGCAGGCCCGGTCAGGTCATGGCACCTGTAATAGGTAATCTGGTTCCTGGGCCTCATCTGGAATTGTCTAGTGTGGAGCCTAGAGAAATTAGCCTTGTATGGATCTTGAAATTACTGCTGAACACAGTTGTCATTCATTCCCCCATGTCTAACTCAGAGCAAGAGTAAACTCCGGCATTGAAGCCGAAACTACTGTCTGTAAACTTTGATTTTTTTTTTTTTTAAAGAATGGTATTTTTTTTCTTAAAAGGTCATACAAATTCTATACAATAGATATTTTTGTCTTCGTATTAAAATATTTAAAATCATATATTGAGAAAGTTGATATTCCATGAGGATGCTTCATTTGGCTTTGAAAACATCATACACATTCATGCTCCATGTGGAAGGAATGACGGTGCTCTATTTGTTCTGTAATAGTTTAGAGTTATCTGAAAGCTAATATTTCATACTTTGAGAAGGTAAATAAAGCTGTGGTATTGTATGTTAAATTATATTCCTAACTAAAAAGATATTTCTGTGTGTTTGAACCATTTGCAGATTATTTGCATGGGTGCAAAAGAAAATGGTTTGCCACTGGCGTATCAAGAGAAGTTAGAAGCAATAGAACCAAATGACTATACAGGAAAGGTCTCAGAAGAAATTGAAGACATCATCAAAAAGGGGGAAACACAAACTCTTTAGAACACAACAGAATATATCTAAGGATATTCTATGTTCTCACATAAAATATTTTTAACACCTGAGAACAGGAATCAGGGAGATCTCCATGTTGGATCCATTTTCAGCAGTGCTCTGAAGTACCATCTCACCTGGGTGATTACTAGTTTTTAGACTATGACAAGAAACTGGGATAGGAGTTAGACAATTTATAAGCGGGATATGAGGGCCCGAAATGTGTGACAAATGGATGTGAGTACTCCTTCTGTAAACACTGGAAGCTATTCTCTTGAATTGATCTTAAGTGTCTCCTTGCTCTGGTAAAGGATAGATTTGTAGCTCGCCGGGTGCTGGTGCTGGTGAATTGCTTTGCTCTGTCTGAGATTTTAAAAAATCAGCTTAATAAGAGTAATCTGCAGACAATTGATAATATTTTGAAAATTGGAAAGATAGTATACTGTTTTTAGAGGAATAAACGTATTTGTGGTTTAACCTGCTGTCCCTACTAAAGCACTTCATTTCATTATGTTGTTAAATCATCACACATGCAGGGTCTGGGCTTGTGGTTTAACTGGTTGTCCCTGCTAAAGTACTTCATTTCGTTACGTATTAAATCATCACACATGCGGGGTCTGGGCTTGGCCATGCAGCGTCTGTAGTAGAGTAGTATTGTATAGACTCGGGAGACAAATAGCCAAGGATCAATTGTCAACGCTCCCATTTCTCACTGGGAGACTTTGGGTGAGTTTATTCTTTGTCTTAGTTTCCTCACACATAAAGTGAGGAGAATCAAAACGTCTGTATCTTAGGATTATTTTGAGAATTAAATGAGTATATAAAAGTAGTAAGCTTAGGACAGAAAGTGGCATATGGTAAGTCTTAGCAATTATGATTTTATTGAAGATTTACGTTTGCCCAGGCCTATCCTTGGAACAGGATTTTAAAGTAGGAGAGGCAGTATTAAGAAGGGAAAAATGTGGAGAAGCAGAGGCACTTGGATTCTTGGCTTTTCAAGAAATGGTGACCTTAAATGTATTTACTGAGTAAATGAAGGAAAGAAGAGTCATGAATACTGGTTACCAAAAATTCTTTTATGTGTCTGTGGAATGCAGTGAGCTGTGCCTTCTGAACTGGGATAAGGGTGAACTAGTTGCAGGAGTATGAAATAAAAATGTGTTCTCCTGTGAAAAACGTAAAAGAAATTTTCAGGCTCCAGTTGCAATTCTGTAGTGAGGCTGTCATAGCCACAGGTCAGACCATATTTCGTAGCTGTCACACCTCACTGTGTTCCCACATATCCTCCCATATTCTAGTTTTCTCCTTGTTCTAAACTCCTCCCAGGGACACCAAGTTTGCCAGTGACCAGGAACCCACTTACAAGGTTTAGAGTAGTATAGTGAGCAAGGCGCAGTTTTGCTATTTATACTAAGAATTGAATATTATTCTAATAATCTCTCACATAAAATGACAACTTTTATTAAGGAATTCAAGATACTAACAATAAAAACCATGTCTGCCTTTTAAGAAAAATGTGGGGCTGGGCACAGTGGCTTACACTTGTGATCCAACACTGTGGGAGGCAGAGGTGAGAGGATCTGTGGAGGATAGGAGCTCAAGACCAGCCTGGGCAACACAGCAAAAACCCATCTCCACACACACACACAAATTTCAATTAGGCATGGTGGCATGTGCTTGTAGTCCCAGCTACTCACAAGGCTGAGGTAGGAGGATCACGGGAGGCGAGGAGTTCAAGGCTGCAGTGAGCTATGATTGTGCCACTGCATTCCAGCCTGGGCAACAGAGCGAGACCGTGTCTAAAAAGAAGACGACAAAACATCTGATAATCATGAGAAATACTGGTTTTTAAATTGTTTCCATGATAATACTTGAAATGCAAATGTTATACGTAAGAGGTTTGCCTTTCTACCAGTGAATTTGGCCCTCTAACCACAATACCGACAGATCCTGTATAAACTGTAACAAATAGTTTTTGAAAACCACCTCTGGACTTGCAAGAAAACAAGGAAAATCTTTAAGGTGTACCAATTCCTCCCCCACAAAAGGAAGAAAGATGAACTATGAGCTGAAAGGACAAAGAGGACTGGTAAACAAATCCTGAGGGTCTTGGGTACAAATGCCAATATAGCCCTAGAATTGGACTACTCACCCTGGAGCGCCCTTGCTGCAGGGCAGGAAAACTGAACCTGAGAACTCCATGTGAAGCCAGGACCCTTAAAGAGAACTAAAATGGTCCCCAGTTGGTAGCCCCGCTGGCTCCCGGCAGAAGCAGAAGCAAAAGCAAAAGCAAATCCTCTCTGGAGAAAGCTTAAATTTAGGCTCTCAGCACTTCCCTTAAAAATGTACAAGATAGGGCCGGGCGCGGTGGCTGACGCCTGTCATCCCAGCACTTTGGGAGACCGAGGCAGGTAGATCACGAGGTCAAGAGATTGAGATCATCCTGGCCAACTTGGTGAAACCCTGTCTCCACTAAAAATACAAAAATTAGCTGGGCATGGTGGCACACACCTGTAGTCCCAGCTACTCAAGAGGCTGAGGCAAGAGAATCGCTTGAATCCCGGAGGCGGAGGTTGCAGTGAGCCGAGATCAGGCCACTGCACTCCAGCCTGGTGACAGAGCAAGACTCTGTCTCAAAAAATAAATAGGCCGGGCGCGGTGGCTCAAGCCTGTAATCCCAGCACTTTGGGAGGCCGAGGCGGGTGGATCACGAGGTCAAGAGATCGAGACCATCCTGGTCAACATGGTGAAACCCCGTCTCTACTAAAAATACAAAACATTAGCTGGGCATGGTGGCGTGTGCCTGTAATCCCAGCTACTCAGGAGGCTGAGGCAGGAGAATTGCCTGAACCCAGGAGGCGGAGGTTACAGTGAGCCGAGATCGCGCCATTGCACTCCAGCCTGGGTAACAAGAACGAAACTCCATCTCAAAAATAATAATAATAATAAATAAATAAAAGATAATAAGGAAAATGATACATCATGAATGAGAGCAGAAAAAACTGATTTAAGAAAAAACACATTTAGATCCCCAAGGTTTTGAGATATTGAAAGTAACTAAAACAATATAAAATAAGTATGTATGGAAACTGACTTGTGTGAAGATGGAATAGAAGTGATTTTCCCTATTCCTCTAGTTAAGAGCAACTAAAATCCTTGAATGTTATATATAAAACAAGCAGAAGAAGACTCTGAAAGGTGGAGAGATGACAGACTAGTCAGGATCTCAGTACCCAGGGCACAACGTGATGCTGAATTCTCAGTTTTCTTTTACTTCAGACAGCTCATACTTGCAGCTTAAGAAATCAGCAGCTTGAAAACACCAAAGAGCACAGACACACCCCCCTCAAAAGAAAAGCCTGCTCTCGTCAAAGAACCAGGAAAAGAACAGCTAGGTGACAAAGCATTTAGAGAATAATCAGTCTATTCCAGTTATACCACACAAAAAATGGTGGATGCCAGTCTCCACTCATGCCACCAAAGGTCAAGAGGAGAGCCTAGACTTCCACACTTGCCAGGTTGTAATGAGGAACCCTAACCTCGCCACCACCACCAGGCAGTGTCAGAAAAAGCTAAGTTTCTGACAATAATTTAGCTGGCAATAACAAGATTCCCTTCCTCTGGGTGTTGGCAGAAACCGTGTGTGGAGTCTGGACTTAAATCCCATCTGGCAGTAATAGTGCGCCTGGCCCTTCCTGCTGGCTTGGGATCAAAGACCAAGTAAAGAGTCAGGGTTTTCACTACCTCTCAGTGGTAACTAAGCCACTCTTTTTGTGGGGTTAGTGGAGGTCACATGGTAAGCAGTAACAAAGCATTCCCACTCCCAGCCAAGAAAGTATCATTAGAGAACTAGTGGGCAGTTGAAACTCCCACCCTTCCTTCATCAGTAACAAGGTGCATCTGCCCCACCCACTTTGGTGACGACAGCAACTGAGCGGAAACCTGAAATTCTACCCTCACCTGGCAGTATTGGAGCAGTGCCCCCCCCCCCACTTTTTCCTGCTGAAGTGGTTTCAGAGTAAGCCAGCTAAAATAGTAAATTTAAATAAGATTTAGAGTCTCATAACAATCTTCAAAATGCACAGGTTTTGACTGAAAAATCACTCATTCCAAGAACCAGAAAGATCTCAAATTAAATGAAAAAAGACAATCAGTAGATGTCAAAACTGAGATAACATGAGAATTATCTGACAAAGATTTTAAAGCAACCATCGTAAAAATATTTCAGTGAGCAATGAGGAACATGCTTGAAACAAATGAAAAGATAGAAAGTCTTGGCTAAGAAATAGAAGACATAAAGAAGAACCAAATGGAACATTTAGAACTGAAAATATATAATAACTGAAACTAAAGACTCAACAGATGGGCTCAACAACAGAATGGAGGGGCAGAGGGAACAATCAGGGAAATGGAAAGATAGAACAACAGAAACCATCCAGTTTGAAAAACAGACGTAAAATATACTTGGGGGAAAATAAAACTAAGAGAGCCCTAGGGACCTGTGGGACAGTAGTAGACGATCTAATGCTTGTGTCATGGGAGGGTCAGCAGAAGAGAAAAGGCAGGCTGAGAAAGTACCCAAATAAATAATGACGAACATGTCCCAAGTTTGGCAAAAGATATAAACCTACAGACTCAAGAAATGGAGTGAACCCCTAACATGAAGAAATCCACACCAAGCTACATCATAGTTAAACTTCTGAAAACTAAAGACGAAAATTCTTAAGAACACCAAGAAATGGCACCTTATCTATAGGAAAAAAAGCTGTTCAAATGACACCAGATTTCTCATCACAAACTGTGGTGTCTCAAAGGAAGTGGCACATTTTTCAAGTGCTGAAAGAAAAGAACCATCAACTTAGAATCCAGTGAAAATAGCCTTTGAGAATGAGGGAGAAATCAAGATACTCTCAAATGAGGGAAAATGAATAAAATGTCTTGCCAGCATGGCTGAAAGGAGTTCTCTAAACAGAAAGGAAATAATAAATACAGGAACCTTGGGACATCAGAAAGGAAAAAAATGATCACGATGAGCAAAAATATGGGTAAATGCGATAGACTTTACTTCTCTTTGAGTTTTAAAAATATGTTTGATTGTTGAAGCAGAAGCTGGAACACTGATGGTTGTAAATATATGTAAAATTACTACTTTAAGAGATTATCAAAAGGGGAGAGAGTTAAGGGAAATAAGTTTTCTGCACTTTATTTGAACTGGTAAAACAATGATACCAGTAGACTGAAAAATTCTATTCAAAGTCACCCCTCTGCTCACTGAGATAAATGCATATCTGATTGCCTCCTTTGGAGAGGCTAATCAGAAATTCAAAAGGATGCAACGTTTGTCTGTCACCTACCTGTGACCTGGAAGCTCTTCCTGCTTGAGTTGTCTCGCCATTCCAGACCAAACCAATGTTCATCTTACAGATATTGATTGATATCTCATGTCTCTCTAAAATGTGTAAAACCAAACTATGCTCTAACCACCTTGGGACATGTCATCAGGCTGTGTCACGGGTGAGCATCCTCAACCTTGGCAAAATAAACTAAATTTCTCTCTCTCTCTCTGTCTCTCTGTGTCTCTCTCTCTCTCTCACTCGCTCTCCTCCTCCCTCTTTCCTTTTTTTCAACCCTTCCCTCCCCTCCTCTTCCCTTCCCTTCCTTCTCTTTTGAGATGGGGTCTTGCTCTGTGGCCAGACTAGAGTGCAGTGGCATGGTCTTGGCTCACTGCAACCTCTGCCTCCCAGGTTCAAGTGATTCTCCTGCCTCAGCGTCCCCAGTAGCTGGGGATTACAGACACCTGTCACCGTGCCTGGCTAATTTTTGTATTTTTAGTTGAGATAGGGATTCACCATGTTGGCCAGGCTGATCTCGAACTCCTGACATGATCCACCCACCTCGGCCTCCCAAAGGGCAAAATAAACTTTCTAAATTAATTGAGACTGCCTCAGATATTTGGAGCTCATATATCCTAGCCATCATTCTGGCGCTTACAAGTTGGCACATTTGATCCCATGAACTAACGTTTGAGTTTCACTTTTGGTTTAAGAACATACTTTCTGTTTATCAGAAGGCAGCCTCTGATGGGAATGTTAATGCTCACAAGCATTAGTGGCTGTATGATTGAATGTACTTCTTCAGTGTGAGTAAGTGACAACTTTCTGTAGCATCGATATGCCTCATGGAGACGTTCCCCATTCAAAACGTTTTAAAACTATTTTATTGGGGACATTTATTAGCATGTTGAAAACTCCTTTACAAGTTATTACAGCATATGCATAGAACATAAAATGTGCACTGCCAAGAACAAATTTAAGGATAGGAAGACAATCTGATTTTTTTCCTTACCTATAAATTGAAATGTATGCAGTGTTATTAAAATTTGATTAAGCTGGAGTTCATCAGGACCACGTGTCATGTTTTAACAAGAGTTTCCCTATCACGTCCAGGCGTTGGCTCTGGTTGCAGGCGCTGAGTCGGCACTTTTAGGGGGACGGGCCTGGCACTTCGGCACCACGAATTCCCAAATGTGTCACCCCTGAGCGGACTCGGGCCTGCCCACAGGGCCCCGAGGCCGCTCCCCCTCCGCACCGGGCGCCCCTCTGCGCGCAGCTTCTCTCGACCCAGCCGGAGTCTGGGATCTTAGGCACCCAATCGCCCCAGAGCCGGCGGCAGCACCGCGGGCCCCGCCTTGACCGCCGCCGCCCGCCCGCGGCCTCTCCCAGCAGCCTGCAGGCTCTAGGGCGCGCCGACAGAGGGCGCGGCTGGGGCTGCCGTGGCGGCCAGTTCCCGTTCCGGGACCGCGAGGCGGCCGCCCCAGCCCCGCCCCTCCCTCGCGCAGCTGCGGGCGCAGAGCCTTCCCGGGCCGCCGCGCGCACGGGGCTCCTGTCTTGCTCCCAGCGGCTGCGAAGTCTCCAACCTGGCGGCCAAGTAAGTCCCAGAGACTGGGGATTCGCGCGGGGCAGACGCTTTCTGGGGCTCCTGGGCGAGGGGAGGCGGGGTCTGCGTGCGGGCGGAAAGCTGCGCGGCTCTGGAGGAGCTCTGGGTGGAACCAAGCGGAGAAACCCGCGAGTTTGAAGAGTGTAGCCAAAGTCGAGAGGGAGGAACGTCACCGTCAGCAGAATCGTTTATCCACTGTGGTCTAAGGCAGGGGTTCGCAGCACCTTGAAACCACCTGCGGAGCTTTTAAAATCCAGATGTCCAGGCTGCACCCTAGATCAGTTCCATCACAATCTCACGGAGTCAGACCCAGGCCTCCTTTGCTTTTAAAAGCTCCCCAAGTGATTCCAATCTGCAGCCAGAGTTGGGTGAAGATTGCAATCACCAGTGACCGAAGGTTGGAAGGGCAGACGGGCCTTCATGGAGTCCTGCCTGCAGACGGCACAGCTGCTCCCAGTGTCCTGCTTGGTCCAGGGGACAGGGCGAGAACTTCCCTTGGATTTCATGGTCCACAAAGTCGGGAAATGAGACAATGCTTGGCAAGGTCGCCTGAATATCACATTCAAAAAAGCCTCCAGTGTGCGCGGTGGTTTTGGCACATTGTGAAAAACATAGGAAATGACAGATGATGATGTTCCATTGGCTCTGCATTCTGGGAAAGGCTGCGGTTGTTGGTGTTTGAAATTAAGTCTGGGGAAGCTAGTAAACCCACGGCCTTGATGACTTCTGGCCTTTCTACTTTAAGGGTGAAGCCATAAGCTGTGCTTGCCAAAGGGTGGGATTTGTTCTCCCTCAAAGCCCTCTGTTGAAGAATAAACTATCACCTTCTGGGAAAAGTAAGAGTAACTCCACCATGCATCTTAGAAAGAAGTAGATTCCCTGTTCTCACCCAGACGTAGATGCCAGGGGCCAGATAGCTGAATTCTAAGCAAGCCAGGCATCGACAAAGTACAGACTTCTACCGTATATGCCAGACAAATGAGCAAGCTGTGCTGAAAACACACAGCAGAGTGGTAGAAGGGTGGTCTTTCAAAGATTGCAAGAGTGGGTTTTGTTTTTGTGGAATGGAGAAGTTCACGCTTTGGAACCCATCAAATCTGGGTCTATGCTGTGACTTTGGGCAAGTTCCTTGATGTCTCTAAGCCCGTCTTCCCACCTGTAAAATGGAGATAAAGAGCAACTGTCTCCCAAGGCTAGCATAGTCCAGCGAGATGATGTGCATCACACACCTGCTAGGCGGGAGCGGTGGCACGTGCTCTGGCAGGGGCAGCTACCAGATATTGGAGTGGCAGTTCGTGCCCACCAATTGTTTACTTAGTACAGACATTATGAGGGAGAATGTTTGTCTGTAAAACGTCCCCTTCAACGCCCCATTCCTTCCCCTGCCCTGCTGCCCTGCTGCCCTGCTCAGGGCCTTGGCATGCTTTAAGTCTGGGATCTTAGGCACCAAATCCCCTCACTCCCCCAGGGCGTGTTAATGGCGTTGGAATACAGTTTTACTGCATGTGATAGGAATGAATATTTTTACGCACACACACAAAAGCTGTTCTTAATCTTGAAACTTCTTCCCTTCTGTTGTCACATATATGTTTTTAAATGGCTTTCCAAGAAAGCTGGGCTGTGGTCAGGGTCTCAGAATTAGTGTATGTGCACACACACGCGTGTCGCTCCCTGCTGGCAACATCCTCAGCCCACACCCTTGGTGTTTCTGTTTTGCTCCCGACTCTTGGCCTAGGGACAGTGAATCTTTCTTCAGTGACCAAGGACAGTTAGGGATCTGAGGAAGGGAGACCCCAAATTCTACAATTGCTGACGCCTGTAGCTCAACCGGAGCTTTACCCTGGTACATGCTCTGTACATCACGGATGGTTACTTCGATCCGAATAGCAGTGCTGTTTAGATTAGACATCAGAAATTGGAAGAGTGGAGTAAGGTAGATAAAGATCAAGTGTCTTTCTAGTGTATGTGTGATCACGGATACTTGCTTACACAAGACTATTAAAGTCGTCTCTTATCCAAATAAAAGGATTCAATATTTGTTCAAAATCTAAGATATGAACGTAGGATTTAAGGTTTATGTTACTACTTTCTTCTATCATTCTTATTATTGGGGGGATTGTTTTTAGGCAAGAAGAAATTAGAAAAGCTAAAATATATACTTAGGCTGAATTTTTGTCCTGCAGAAGCTGTAGGTATTTTGCCAGTTTTCAGAAGTCCTTTTTTATCTTCTGGGGACAGTCAGTTGCATGCCACACAACGGGCCTCCTTTGGTCTATCCAAAAGATCTGAACTTATTTCTAGAAAAACTCTTTAGTGTGTCAAATACTCGTTGAGGGCAAGTGTTGTTTCTAAACTTGACTCCTGTGGTGACAGGGGAGTAGTCACTGGCAGGTGAGTTCGTTGATGCTTTTTACCCATACTGGCAAGTGTGTCCAGTCATATATCGCTAAGACGTCCTGGCTTGAACTCTTATTTAAACATGTGTTTTATCTGGAACTGCCACAGACAAAACTGTGGGCAGAGAGATTCCAGTGCAGAGTTGGCCAAGGCAGGCATGCCCGCCACCCCTTCCCTTGCCATTCTGTCTGTCTCTGGAGCCATTGAGCCAACCGGCAATGGTGCCACTCTGAAGGGATCTTACCTTGGTCCTCTACTGGGGCAGAGTTCCCTGATGAGGGATGCACGTCCTTAGACCCAACAAGGCAATTTTGTATCCTACTGCATTGAAATTAAAAGTGACTCTCTAGTAGACTGCCATGTCAGAATTTGTTTTACTGAAGTGTCCTTTTCATCCAAATTATAGAGCACTGTAGTTTAAAGAACAAACAGGTCAATGGAAGGGCCCAGATAATTGCAAAGTGAGCACCAGATTAGTGCCAGGTTTTGGCAGATTCAGATTTTAATAAACCGTGAACATTCACCATGATTGTATTTGTTTCAGAAAGTTGATGTCCCTTGGCCTTCTGTTCTGTCGTTGCCACCATACGGGTGAGGATCAGAATTGGGAGGATGGAGTCACTTGGTGGATATTTGCAGAGCCATATGCAACCGTGCCTGGCTTAGCAATATGATAGCAGAGCTGAGAGAAGATGATTTACTTGGGAGAGTATTTCTTTTCTAATTCCCCCAAAATTAAAGGTCTAATGAGTAAGAGCTTCCCATGCTTCTTGTAACACATGCCCGGGTTACTGCCTATGACCTCAAAACCAAACCTTCTTGGAAGGAACTGAGGGAAAGCTAGGCTTTTTTGGCAGGGGCTGTCCTAACCGCTTACAACACAGGCCCCTTCAGTGAGTGGGCCGTTCCCGGACTCCATTCAACAAAGCTGGTGTTTTATACTTAAGTGAAAGCATTCATGTTGAAGATTTCAAGTGGAGATGTGAGACCTATAACATACACCAGACAGGCAGGACTGAAATGGAAGGGATAGTGGGTTTCGGAATCAGAACCAGGACCAAGTTCCTATTTAGTTCCTTAACTCAGGGGTCCCCAATCCCTAGGCCTTGGATGGGTACCAGTCAGTGGCCTGTTGAGAACTGGGCCGCACACCTGTGGCAAGCAAGCATTACCACCTGATCTCTGCCTCCTGTCAGATCAGTGGTAGCATTAGATTCTCATGGTGGGGGGAAGGGGAACCCTATTGTGAACTGCGAGGTTGCATTCCTTATGACAGTCTAGTGCCTGATGATCTGAGGTGGAACAGTTTCATCCTGAAACCATCTACTCCTTGCCCCCACTCCCCTGTGAAAAAATTGTCCGTGGAAAAATTGTCTTCCATGAAACCAGTCCCTCATGTCAAAAAGGTTGGGGATCACTGCCTTAACTTACTCTGTGACCTTAACCAAGATCCTTGGCCACTCCTGTGTCCTCCTGTGTAAAATACTTACAATAATGCTTTCCTTGCTAGGTAGTTTTCAGTATTTGATGAGCTAATCTATGTAAAGTGCTTAGCACATCACCATCCTCTAGTAAGTCACGACGATGATGATAAAGAGGATGATGATGAAGGTTCCGGGGCTGGTCTGCCCATCTCCTAGTTGTGTGACTTCACATAAGGATTTTAAATATATATATATATATATATATATATATATATATATATATGTATTATACACGTATATATACATATATTTTTTTGAGACGGAGATTCACTCTTGTTACCCGGGCTGGAGTGCAATGGCGCGATCTCGGCTCACCGCAACCTCCACCTCCCGGGTTCAGGCAATTCTCCTGCCTCAGCCTCCTGAGTAGCTGGGATTACAGGCACGTGCCACCATGCCCAGCTAATTTTTTGTATTTTTGGTAGAGACGGGGTTTCACCATGTTGACCAGGATGGTCTCGATCTCTTGACCTCGTGATCCACCCGCCTCGGCCTCCCAAAATGCTGGGATTACAGGCATGAGTCACTGTGCCCTTCATCATGAGCCTCAGCTTTTGAATCTGTAAAATGGGCTAACTCTGCCTATCTGGAAAGATTGCTTTGAGGCTTGATTTAAGTAAAACGATGACAGGTCTGATCTGGTAGACACTACATGAGAATAGTATTTCCGTAGACTACCTGTGTCGCACACTAGTCTAAGAGCTTAGCGTTTTTGTTGTTTGTTTTTAGCTCATTTTATCTTCCCAACGACCCTATGCAGTGGTTATCATTTCCCTGTTTTACAGAGGAGACAACTGAGGCTCAACAAGGTGAAATAACTAGCCTAAAGTCCATCCCAGGACCTGAAGCAGAGTCCCTGTTCTTAACCACGGGCTCAGGTGCTGAGTGATACCCTGTACCTGCTTACTCTACCTCCCTCCTGAAGCCCACCTCCTGCCATTAACGGACAGTGGTGCTTATGCTCTGTGTAGGGCCATGTTTCTGGAAACAGAGCCCCTGCTTCCAAAGAGCAGCTTACTTAGGAAGCGAAAGTGGCAATTCACTCCTCCGGTCCCTCCTCCCACCCCCAGGTAACTTTAAACTTCACCCATTGCTTAGGCTGGTTAATCT